GGAAAAGACAATGAGTCTTATAAATTAAATAGCAATCAAATAAAAACACAGAAAATATCAACTTATTATAAGTTTATATGCGCATATATAGAGCATACATATGTACATATGTATGTACCTTCTATTTGATATTTGAAATTGCAGACTTTTACAAAATAAGGAGCATGTTTTTCGAAGGAAAATTTTATAAATAGTATTATCGATCGATACGTATTTATGTACAAACATAGTACATATTTCCAAGAAAAGTTGGAAGGCTGAGTTTGATATATATGTTCATAAATTAAAGTGTCTTTTTGTCATTAACTTCAAGTGATTTCTACGGCATTATATTACTCACCTTTATACCACCAACCAAATCATCGAAATCTAATGAAGTGGCATTAAAGCATTGGCCAGTCGAATATGCCATAAATATTTATTTAACTTTACAGATAAAACATATGTATGTATTATAGTTCACCGAATTTCAATACCGCAATTACTAGATGTTGGAATATATTTGAGCAACAAACAATAAAACGGTGATGGTTTGCATAGCTACTATATGGATGTTTCGATTCGATATTATTTCCCGATTGGCGGAACTAAAAAGATAACAATAGGCGAACAACTAATTACACTTAAAACGTGCAAGTGGCAAATACTACTTACCAACTCAACAAGATAGGTATAATAACTTTCATAATAATGTATACACGTACATAAGTGCATACTTATATACTTGTTATGATTAAAATCGTTACACTTCATATTTTATAATTTTACGATTGTTAGTGCAAATAAGTACTTATTACAGTTTATTAACCGCAGTGAGCTATTGAAAAAATGCATAATTCTCCACTGTTTTCTAACGTCATCCAATTAAACACAAAAGTTCTGGCATGAAATTCCTTACTTACATATGTACGTATGAATATACATACAAAGACCATTATCAAATTGCATTCAATAATTATTTCTGTATGCACACTCAGTTGCTAGTTATCTTGCACATACATATGTACATATGTATGTACATACATATATACGAGTATACAACTTAATTAGCTGGATGTGAATTTAATCAATCCATTAACAATAAATGAGCATAGCCGTGAAACTTGCAGATGCTTCGCAGCTAATTGGCGAGTCGGCGCTAACCAGACCCTTATGATGTATTAATAGCGAATTGATCGGTAATCATGACTCGTGACGTCGGGTAGTCGTTGTCTGCTCTAGCTATTTATGCATATGAACACATACGAACGTACAAGCATTTCAAGTATGATAAGATAATCAGCTTTAGAAATTTGTTCAGTTCATAAACGCCGATGTCAACATTGTTTACCATATCAATGTAACTAACAAATGTTGTTCTTTTAGAGCGATAATTTCACAAAAAAATATATTTTTAATTAGTTCGCCAGAAATTGGTCCATTAGAACGATATATTCATAATATTTTAGTATATACACGTACATACAGGCGTATAAATATAATCAAATTGTAAATATTTTACTTAAGCAACTTATGGAAAAATACTTTATAAACTATGTGTGTATGTACGTATATTAATATTCCCTGCTTATGAAATAATATTGAAGAATAAGAAAATTAAATAAAAGAAACGACGAAGTTAGCTCTCGAAATTCAGCCAACTTTTCAGAAATGGAGGAACATATGTACATACATACATATAGAGTCCATACTGCCAAGCCATCTTGCATATTAGCGGTCTAAAGTCATCTGATTGAAGCATGTGAAGTATTATATTATCAGCAAAAATTTCTATTTAAATTTCATTGAAATACTTCAAATATTGATCGATACATGCAGTATGCAGTATAATGGAGAAGCTTGACATCGCTTAAGAACGTGGCACAAGGGCATGTATTATCTGGAAAAAATTATTCCTGCGGTTCATAATTATATCTCTCGGATGGATCTATATTTTCGGAGAATGCGTATCCTATCCTTTTTGCTGCTTAATTTATATACTGTAAAATGCAAAAATCAGATAGAATTTAAAAATGTGTTTAATGGGCAGTAGGGTGGTTGTAATCTAATTTTGCACGTGTAACAAAAAAGTCTTAAGAGTATTAATAAGGAGGGCACATATAGGTTCTTTGACTCATTTTGTTAAATGAGAGCACCTGCAACAATTATATTTAGATACGATAACAGAGATATCTTCTACTATCCCGATATAACTATTTACGCTCAATTTTGTTCCAATGACTTAATTGAATTTGTTTTTGAGGTTTTACTCCTTTCTTTCTCGTCGTTTCTTCATGTTAATGATTGAAGAATAATTGCTTGTTTTGAATAGTAATGTTTATCTCACAGATAAATGCGATTTCGCGATAAAAACCATAGGGGCGTAACATACATACATATACTCATATGTATCAACTATGTAGGTACAATCATGTGAACGGATTAAGTTGAAAAGATATATGTAAGTATGTATGTTCATACAATGACACTGGAAGTGATTGATAGTTTTCCTTCGAAATTAAATATTAAGGCAAGTCTATATCATATACTATATGTACAGAAATATTTTAAGTTATTTTCCGATGGGTGATCGACAATACAATATTTTGTTGTACATTTTATTGTTATTGTAAAAATCTGAGTGATAAAAGACGACCACGCCACAGGCAGTTAATTTCCCACCAATTCTTAGATAAAAAAAATGATATAACACAAACATGTGTAATATACATATGTATGTATATAAATGCCTGTGCATATATGCAAGTACATACATACATACATACATATTTTTGTTTAAATTATGATTTCTATTATTAAATAGGAATTGAGGTGGAGAAAGAGGGCTGTCGACCGCATGCCAATGGACACGCGTTGACCACGCTGCAATCATTCCAAATTGTCTTTATTTAACGGCGACATTGACACAGGCTATTGTGTCTCATTAGCACTTGCAGACAAGAAAATACATACTATAGCAGCATTAAATTCGATCTATTTACTTATGAGTAGAAGTACATACATGTATCTATCTATAATCGAAAAACGCTAATTATGGATATGATACTATATTTTTCAGGCATAAATAAAAATGTGCCACACATGGACCTGTTTGCTGAAAGAGCAAATCGAGATTATCAACAATTTAAGTGAATATGAATAAATTACTTATGTCTCCATAGGGGCGTAACATACATATACATATATGTTGGCTAACGTATATACATATGTATGTATGAGTGTACGTGTATGTATATGCATAGGCACATATGAATGTATTGTTAGAAATAAACCGTGTTTCAGTTGCTCGTGCTATCCCCGGACTTCGCACGAATTATGGTAAGATCTTACGAGTTTAAAGTGGCCAAGTGGACAATCTACTTTCAGCAAATAATTTTAGGTGTTTTCAGAGGATATATGAATGTATGTATACGTGCACACATGTACTATTTACTGTAAACCTTTATTTGTTTATACATATATATAATATATGTATATTAACATTATGTATGTATATATTTGAATGTGTGTTTAACCGAACTTATTACGAAAATTCACGTTCTGTACGGGAAGTACTATTCAAAACACCATCACCCATTTTCAGACTCAGCAATCATTACTGGATAATATTCGACCGAATAGACAAAGTCCAGAAGACCGTGAAGAATCGATTCGGCGCCGTTCACAACAAGTCGGACATACGCTTGGAACGACTTCGATAGATCGTATGATATCATACCGTTACACTTTTTCTTGTAGGGATATGTAAAGTCTACGCGAACAATCTCGCTTTCGATTAGGTCCTTGGAGCAAAACATGACGCGAGTCATTCACCAGTTACCACTCAAATAAATCATCGAAAATTTGACTCAATGGATGGACCATCTGAGACGTAGACGCGGCCAACATTTGAATGAGATGACCATAAATCATTATAAATGTCAAATAATGTTCTTTCGAATGATAATAAACATTCCCCATTAAAGCAGAAGTTTTTGTGTTTTTTCTCTAAAAAGCGTGTTTATGATAAATATTTGCCCCACATTTAGGAAGTAATGTCATTACAGCTGTGAAATACTGTTATCAATGATGTTCGCAAAGTAACGATATAGTGATAGATATGTACATATGTACATACATACAGTAGAAATATACACACAAAACCTAATTGTAAAATTTATTAATGAATTGTTGTGATATCTTGAATATTAAGTAAAATATATTATAAAACGAAATACATTAGCACGTTACCTCTGATGCAAATGTTGTATTAAAAAGATATATTTTTAATTTTAATTTTATACTAATAATATCAAGGATTTATGGTACATATGTATACGAGCATATATGTATGTTCATATCTTATAATCTATCCTACATATTTGAATGCTTTTACTCCAAAGTACTAAGCGAAGGATTTGGCACAATTAGGAGCGACTTTGTTTCTAATCCAGAAATTTTTTTGATTTCACAGACACTTAAGTTATACGTATACATATACTCGTATATGGACAGAGATACTTAGCACACTGAAGCAAGCGGAAACATTTTTATTTATATGTATGTATGTATATCTAAATATGTTTTTGTTTTTATAATAATGTTATATCTTGTTGTATACCTTATAAAACTTACTGAAAGAGATACATAGAAAATTTGCATGTTGTTCACCGGTTGCTTTTGCATGTTTATTGCAGGTTTTATTCGTGGTAGTCGCTTTTCAATTTTATAATCAATACAAGTGCTCACAAATGAACATTACTGGATGCTACTTCTCGCCTTTCAATGTTTTTTTTTTTCTTTATACATAACAGCGATATGAAATGGGAAAGGGCAAATAAGTTTAGAGGTAGGTGCAGGCTGGTTTAAATAAAATACAACTTTGTAGTGATTCCTTTTTAATCAACTATTTTTTATTTATTTTTTTTTTTTTTGTATCAATGTGGGTAACTTAATCTATTTATCATAACAATCACATTCGATTTTATGAAATGTACGCTCCTCATTTTGCTTTGTGCTCCTTTGTTTAACGCTAATTTTTTGGCAATTCAACTATCAATTATTAGTATAAATTCTGGAGTTTCTGGTCTTATTCCACTTTTTTCCATTCCACGTTATGTAAGTTATGTTGACAAAGTACCCTCATAAACGCGATTGAAGTGTTTATAAGAATATACATTTTTTCACTTGTGATTGATTCGTATGATTATTGTTGTGAATTGAAAAAAAATATACATAAATTACAAAAAACATCAGTAGAAAATAGATAGTGTTCATGTATGTATATATAATGGAATATTTTGGTATGTAAGAATATGCATACATTAATATATAACAAAATAATTACATTCCTCCATTTCAAAGAGATTGTAATTTTCCTTATACAAATATTACTTAGATTTTTTATATATTTATTATATAATTGTATAGTTTGGTTTTTGCCCTCCCCTTAAATATATATATATGTTTATACTGAATTTACATCCATCATGATATCGAAGAAGTTTCAACAGACAACACATCTTTGACATTAAACGTTTTATAGGTACCATTTAAAATTTAGTTTAATTTAATAATTTATAAAATTTATTTATGTACAGAATGTGCCCCATTTTTCTTCTGAAAATTTTGCAAATTCTCTTAAATTTGTTTCTTCTCTATATTTCACAGATTTTTAGATGTGCATATGGACTCAAGTTGAGCTTCAGGATTTCTTCGTTTGTAGTTTCTGGCATATGTACATGTGTACATACATAGTATATCGACCTTCACTCTCTCAATTTATAGGCTGCTTATTGAGTTTATTCATCAAGCAAGCAAGTTCTCACCAAAGCATTACAAACAGCATAAGGATCGCAGTTCGAGCTGGGACGACGATCTTCGAAGTAACCTTTACCTGCACTTGCTACACCACGTGGAATACGAACACTGGTGCCACGGTTCGCAATGCCCCAAGAGAACTTATCGATACTTGAGGTTTCCAAGCGGCCGACTAAACGTCGTTCATTATCCTTGCCTTCCTTTGGATCGTAGGCACGAATGTGGCGCTCTTGCTGCTTGCTGAGCTTTTTAATAGCTTCTTCTATGACTTTCATACCGCCATCAGCACGCATAGCTTTAGTAGAGAAATTGTGATGAGCACCAGCGCCGTTCCATGGCCCATCCATTGGTTTGGGATCAAATGTAACAACAATGCCATATTCTTCAGCAATGCGTTGTAGAATATACCGTGAAACCCATAGGTCATCACCAGCTTTGAGGCCAATGCTTGGACCCACTTGGTATTCCCATTGAGCGGGCATAACTTCTGCATTGGTGCCAGCGAAGTCGATACCAGCATATAAGCATGCAGTGGTATGAGCTTCTACTAAATCTCGGGCGTAAACACGATCGGCTCCCACTGCGCAGTAGTAAGGTCCTTGTGGTGCAGGAAAGCCACCTTCTGGCCAGCCGAAGGGACGACCCTCAATATCAAGTAACGTATATTCCTGTTCAATGCCGAACCAGGGTTCTTGATCAATAACTTTATCTATAGCTGCTTGACAGGCAGCGCGTTTGTTCGATGGCGTTGGTTTTCCCTCCGATGTGTAAGTATCACACATAACAATAATATCGTTTTGACCTGGCTTGAAGGGATCCCGATAAATGGCACGTGGTATTAGGGTGGTGTCTGAGTTTTCACCAGAAGCTTGGTATGTCGAGCTTCCATCATACTGCCAGTTCGGTAGATCTTCCACACTTTTTGGTACCTTATTCAAAACACGATCCTTCAAACGGATATTTTCACCAGTGCCATCAATCCAAAGGTAAGTTGCCTGAACAAGATTTTTTGGAGTTTCAAGTGTGCGATAGCGATCTAACAATGTTTTGCTCAACGCTGCATTAGGCGAATTCCTCAGGAAATGTGCTTGGCGCACAGAGGTCATATTAAGGTTGCGGAGTTGAGATAGAAACATGGAGGATGCCGCAAACTCCTTGTTAATAAAGAGACCAGCACATCGTAGAGCCATAATTTTTTTTTTTACAAAATTCTTCCCGATTTTGTATTGAAGTTATTATTATTGCTTATTTCTCTTTCCACAATATTCTCTTCAATGAAGGACGTTGAAGGACGCTAAATGTTAAGTTATATCTGCGTCGTAAGGTTGGAGAGTAGCACGAGTTAGTGGAAATATTTGGAAATTGTCCGAAATAGGTAGGTTTGTGCGTAACACTTCAAACAATTTGTATTCATTTATTTGCTGGAACTTTGCCTTTGTTTGGTTTGCTTTGTACTTTCGATTTTGATAAAACACTCGAAATTTCAACTTAATTTCATTGCAGCACTTTTCTTTTGTACTAATTTTTTCTCACTACACTTAGTGGTTTCTGTACATATACAAAAATCTTTTATGAACAGCAATGCGTTTAAGTCCGAACACCCGTTTTCTTTGAGGTTTGAACAATGTCTGACTGCGAACATAGCGAAGCACTCACTTTTCAGGCCTCAATCGTTGCGATTTTCTTTATCACATTTTCTAAATTCAACCTCTCCACATTTGGCTTCTGTCTTTCTTCATGTGTGTTAGTGAGATCTGCTTACTACAGAGAGTCGTTACCCTAAATGCATGCGTAGGCGAGCTACTAAGACTGTGTTTACACACGAAGACTTTAGTTGCTCCAAATTTGTTGGCTAGGAGCGAAGAGGAAAGATGAAGGGCACCGAGGGTAAACGGTTTTGTGTTCTTTTTCGTAACAATTCACTTCTACGCAATTCGGCATTACTTTTCATTGTGAATTGCTATCATTGTTTTAATACGCTTGGTTTCAAACGAATATTCAGAATATGTTCAGAAAAATAAGACAACTAAATTTTAGTATGTGATATGGAAAGGGATTCAGGAAATGGCCCAACGAGCATTGCCCGTGTGAATGCGATGGATGATATTGTAAGAAAATTTCCCGATAATGAGCAAAAAAAGTTTCCCTTTATAACCCCACACTTAAACACAGTAAGCAATCAGTAAACAGATATATGTACGTATGTATGTATACGAGTATACAAGTATCTGAGCAAAAAAAGGAGCCACTCTCGGCTGTGTATGGAAATACATATAAAAATATTTACAAATGTTTACTCATGCACGCATGTATATATATGCTTATATATATATATATTATATATGTAAATAAGTGTATAAGGCCGCAAAATATTTTATTTGTTGGTGCACGTTATGGTTGGATGATACGATGGAATGTTTGGTAAGAGGAGATCTACTTTATGGATAAAAGTCAATTGTTGAACATATTTATGTACTCGCATGTACATACATATGTATATAATACATATGTGCGCCTGTATCTGTAACCTGTAGACAATTAACCGAAAAATCAAGGAGTGTATATGTAAATAAAATTTGTGAACACACACACATACATATTCACTTATATGCGTATGGTATTGTGTCCAGTAACAGCTGAGAGCCTCCTTTGTAAACTCAGCTGATAAAGTGTATATGTAAGTGCACCGCCCAATAGATAATCAATGATATGCACATGAACATGTACGTATATATGTACATGATATGTAAATATATATGGTATGTGAAACCTTCATACATATCCATAATATATATACAGACATATGCCCCGTATGTACAATTGTCCATATGCATACATATGCATCATGTACGGGTACCACTACTGCATTTTAACATCAAACGCATCGCTCTGTTGTTTTGATTACTCCAAGTGCTTTGTTTTGTATGCCGTCGCACATCTGTTTTTGTTTTGGTTACAAAGTCCGAAATTTTTTTGGCGGCACTGGCGACATCACAAATATCGGATTCACCTTTCATGCCCACACGGTATTCCACCGGTGATGAATGTTGTAGCCTTCTTTCTGGGTTCTCCTAAAAAATAGAGAATATCTCTCGCTGAGTATACCTCTCCATATGGACTGTCATTTACGCATACAGATGTATTTATTTCACAATAAACATACTGATAGCATACATACATACTTACACTATCTACTGTGTAGATAAATGAATGGTAAACAAATTATAACATAAAATGGGTGCAGTGCACTCACAGCTGTTTCTGTTGAGCTTTTTTTGAGCAAAAGCTGTATTCGTATTTTATTCATACCATATACTGTTTGGGGAAGTGAACTTGTCAGACTTGTATTCATGTCACCCTGTTGGAAAAAGTAAAGTAAATAGTCGTTGGGTGGTATCAGCAGCCACTATCAATTGGTGAGTTGTAGTACCAAATATTGTAGATGTGTGCTCGGATGTCTGAGATTTTTTACTCAATGTGCGTCATATGTTTACATAATTTTCTTTAAAAAATTAAATTTAAGAAAATATAAAATTTTTGACTTTGGCTAAGGATAAGTGTTCGATAAGCATGATGAAGTTAAAAATTTATAAAAATTAAGTTACTGTCACTAGCTTGTTTCGGGTTATTAATTTTCGCTAGTTGATATGTTGTAATTATTAAAAAAAAAAAACATTTTGATATTTTCTAGCTAATTCCCGCTATTGTCTGCCAATTTTCCATTTATTTACTTTTTCATTATTTCGCTCTTCGTGAGAGTAACTTACAATTCGCTCAGTGTTGTTCTTAATGATAGCTAGCGGCTACTATCAGTTAAGAAGCAAACTAATAGTAGCCTAAAGAGCTTTATTATTTATAGTGACGACAGAAATTTGTTGTCACGATTCGCCAGTGTTTTTAAAACTGTGATTTTTGACTTGTTTATTTAATATCTGCAAAAAGCAAAAAGTAATATTCAAAAGAGATAAACCACGTTAAGAACTTACAAGCCATTTGTATTAATTTATGCAGTACATACATAGAGATGTGAACCAATTATCAAATGTCTGTGCATCTGAAAACATAGCATAATTTTCATTTTCGCTAACTGCCGTACTGTCAAAAATTCCTCTGCTCTAAATTTGCCTTAAAAGTTTTGTTGAGAAATTGAAAACTATTCACGAACATAGAAATGCGCATGCGCATGGAGAGCTTAGAATGAAACATTAATACATCGACCAATCACAGATCTAAACAAGAGCAATACCAAACACAATCAAGGAAGAAAAGCCTCTTCTTTTGAGAAAACAGGGTTTTCATAATGATATTCTCCAAGGTACTTTGACTTTCATGAATAAATTTTTATAACCCTTGCACTTGCCAACTTTTCGGAGCCTTAAGTATAAGTATCGTCAATTGCGTTTCACCTTTATTTGTAAAACGACTAGTTTTTTTTTGAAGAATAAAGAGGTGAAAGAATCAGAGGTCCCCTTCCACAGTATGTAAAGCGCAACGTTTGGACCCCGTGGTTGGCTGGGTTCACATACTAATTACACATTCAAACAAAGATGCTCAGAAGCAGCATTGCGAATTTCCACCAAAATGATTAGTATATTTAGCGCGGCATATGCCGGTAGCTCCTCAGTTTTATATGAGATATCATCGAAATAAGTCCATTCTGAAGTAAAGAAAAGGAAGATAAAATAAATATATGAGTATTATCGTAAAATAAATAAATAATAAAAAAAATAAAATCAACAAGATAACTGAATGCTTGCTTGTTTCTTTTGTGAAATCAACCACATAAATCTTTGTATGAAAACACTTTCAGACTACCTTTGTCGTAGCCGTTCGATTGATATTTTACATAAAATATTTTATTATTACGTACATATATGTATGTATTTGTGTTATTTTCGGAGCTTTCAAGTGTAAAGTGAAAGTATTTGCCAGAAAAACATCTAACACAAAAAGTCGAGCAAAATATTTTGAACATATCAGGCCTTTCATTGCCTCAGGACTACTGAAAATCTAAAAGAAAAAGTGAGAAAGTAGTTATTCTTTGTGGCGGAAAATGGATTAGAGCGACAATTGCCTGTTATCAGAAGTCAATATAAACCGTTAGAAAGCATAGCAATTTTAAAAACATTACAGACTCTTCTAACCCCAGTGATAAAAAAAAGTGAATAAAAGTAGGCACAGACGTGGTTAAAGCACTTCAATCCTGTCTCTAAACTAGTTATAAAGGTAAGAAATTGACAATAAGACAGTTTACAATTTAAAAATCTGTGGTCTGCTTAGTTTAGTTTGCCAATATTATCGATTTTTATAATGTGAAATAAACATCTACATACATACATATTCTCATGGGTATATAGTCTTAGCTCTTATCTATTTTATTAATCACGTATTTAATTCAAGATTTGTGGATGTTAGATACGGAATTGGTCTTAATTTAGAAAAGTCAAGGGTAAATGAGGTAAATTACACACGGACCACAAACATACATATGTAGTTTTAATTGCGCGTGCTGTTGTTGAACAGGATCGCCACACGCTTCTTGTCACATGCCATTTGTGGCATGCCGCACGCTGGGAAGCTAGCATGGCAGCCCAGTCTTCTTTGTGAGTGTAGTGAGGCTGTAAGAACACACGTGCGCGCAGCAGACAAATAACTTGATTACCATTGTAAATGCATTAACAGTGATTGCTTGTTTCGCACAAGTCAGTCCACTGGAATTTCCTAATCACACTTATGCCACTATTAACATAGACTCAAAAATTAATAATGTAGTTGGAATGAGATGTACCTACATATGTACCTCTGTACAATGCACGCATATTCATATGTAAATATGTACATATGTGTACATATGTATATACAAGTGAAAACAATGATATTGCGATTCCTTGATAATTTGTTAAAGCTATTGGACCTATTTGCATTTATCAAACTTTAGTTTCTAGAAAGTATGCGCAAATTTCCAACTAATAGCGTAGAGTTCTCAATAAACACAAATTCATATGTATGGATATATGTAGGTTCTTTTATTTCGAATTCGATCAAGTCTTAATGCTTAACACATATGTACATACATACGCACATATGTACTTTTGCATTGATATTGGTTTGTATCCATTGCTGTTATTGTAACGACAAAGCGTATTCCGAAATGCCAACATTCCTTTGCTATTTTTAAAAATATCAGCGGTCAGTACGGCGCCGATGTTTCGTAGCAACCACGACAGTTGGAGGAAGCGGCAGCCAAAAGGCCTAAAAAGTGTCGACACGACGATCACAACCATTCATTAATATTTCGTTTTAGCTGAACTTAGACGAAGAAGTGCGTTTGCCGTGATACATTTGTCAAAAGTTAAAAAAAAAGTCAAAGAACAGATTTCGTTTTCCTTGAGAAATTTATAAGGGTGATAGACAATATTATATGTTAATTATGTTTCATTATGCTTCTTAACATATTTAATATGTTATTAATTATTGATAGTGCAATTAAAGACATGTGAATGTATACATATGTGCATGTATATATGCATATTTATGTATATTATGTGTAATTCTATTAAACCTATCTACTTATAATGTGAACGTTTTGATGATTGCAGAGCTTTATGAACTTTAAGTAACCCCCGAATAAAAAGTTGTTTATATCTTATA